AAACTTTCAGTCTTGGGGGACTCAAGACCTGATATAGAAATGATTTGGTAGCAATAGCAGTTGCAGTAAAATCAGGGTTGCTGGGTTCTATACCAGCAGCAGCAGCAGCAGCAGCAGCAGCAGCAGCAGCAGCAGCATCAACAGCAGCAGCATCATCAACAGCAGCAGCAGCAGTTGGTATCATTTACTAACACAGGGAATCCCAGCAACAAACCCCTGATCTAAAATCACTCTATGATATTGTTTAGGCATTGTTCTTGGGAGTTTTGTCTTGAGTATTTCTCCAGCTATTCCAGTACTTCTGTAAGTTACTTGTTAGCTTTAACCACTTACCAGTCCAATTATTTAAATGTGAGGTGGCCAAAAATTGCATATTTTTTCATTAATTTTTATAAGAAAATATAACAGGAAATATAAAAATGACAATTTTATCAAATTTATTCAATACAAGAATTGACTGGTTAAAAAAAAAAAAGAATTGACTGGTTGAAATGACAATTGCTTGAGCAATGCTTGGGATAATCAATATATAAACAAACACTGTCCCAGTGATGCTCAGGGTAAGCTGTTAAGTAGATAACAAACTAGTTTTTGTTAAAACAGCATAATACAATCTACTATTTGCGAAAAAACAGCATTAACTGATACAGGAATCATCCTCAAACTTTTCCTCTCCTATCCCAAAGCCAATAGAAATTACAGGATGCTACAGTGCTGAGGATGCTACAGGACTGAACTTAGGTCCTTGCACATGCTAAGCACACACTTTACGAATGAGCTACCATCCAGCCCTTTCTCTCCAGTATTTCTCACCTTGCCTCTCCACTCCTCTCTCCTCCCCTCTTTTCCCCCTCCCTTCCCCTTTCCTTCTCTTCTCCTTCTTTCCTTCCTTCTTTCTTTTTTTCTTTGTGGTACTGGAGATTGAACTCAGAGCCTTCACATCAAACTACAGTCCCAGTTCTATTTGTTTTATTTTATTTTATTTTATTTTATTTTGAGAGAGGGTCTTGTTAAATTGTTCAGTCTGGGCTCAAACTTTGGATCTTCCTGCCTCAGCCTCCCAGAGTGCTAGATCACAGACATGTACCATCACACCTAGATTTACCTCTAGTTATAGCTTCTCTCTGTCATAGTAGCCCAAGACATCTTTCTAAAATGCAAATCTAATTCTATCACTCTTTGGCTTAGGATCCTTCAGTGGCTGATACCCTTAGGATAAGGTTGAGGCTCACATCCAAATTCTTTAGCACAGATTCTCAGAATCTAGTCCTGGCTGACCTTTCTATTTCATTTTCACCAGCCTGCTTCCCATGCCTATGCTCCAATTATCTTTTTTGCAGAGCTTGACGAGGAGCAATGGAATCCATTGAGATCCTGCTAAAAATGCAGAATCTCAGCTCTACTCCAGACTTATTGAATCAGAACTAGCCTTTAAGCAAGATCATTAGGTAATTCATTTGCATACTGAAATTTCATTACTGCTGCTTTATAACACTGTACTCTTTTCTTCCTTGGGTTTTATACAGTTTGCTTCCTATGTTAAACTAGCCTCCTTTGTATGCTGATTAATATTCTGCAGGATTCAACCAGATGGCCCTTATCCAGGAAAACTTTTTGACTGGCAAAGGCTGGGTTGAGGGGCATTCACTCCCTTAGTACCCCCGACATGTCTTACTACTTTGTGTTATAATTACCTTTCCACTCCTTTTCCATTTCTATCAAACAGGAGTTTGTCTCCCGGTTGTATGTTAGAGTTAATCTGAGAATTAAAAAAAAAAAAATACTGATTCCTATGTTCTGCCCCTAGAAATTTTGGTTTTAATTGATTTGTGTAAGGCTTGGACACTGGAATTTTTAAAAGCTATTTCGGGTATTTATAAAGTAGAGCCAAATTCAGAATAGCTCCACTAGACTTTAAACTCCTTGGGGACAGGGATTGTATCTTGTTCACTCTTATAGCCCCAGTCCCTACTATACCGCCAGGTACATACACTGTAGAAATACATAGTTGCGGGCCTTAGTTCCTCGGGAATAAGTAATCAGTCTTGCATTTTATGTACCATCTTACCTTATACCCTAACCTTTTGTATATATGTCAGTAGTTGGGATGCTTACTCATTTCATTAAAACAAAGAGTTGTTTCTCGAGGAAAGAGCTTGGATCAGCATTTGAAACACATCTCTAAACACCCCTGTTTTCTGTGCTTGAGCCAGTTTGATGCTAATAAAACAAAATAGCTACATATAATTGGATACTAATAGGAATATCATATTGAGACACTGTCTCCATGCACTAGTTCCACAAACAAAGTCACTAATACTTTGTTTATAAATCTCTTGAATCCTGCAAATTCAAAATAGCAAGGAGGTTGATGAAATCAACAGATATATTTTCTAAAAGTTAACCATAATTTTATAAGAAGTTAAAAATGGGTGTGAGGGGCTGGAGATTTAGCTCAGTGGTACAATGCCTGCCTGGTAAGTGTGAGGTCCTGATTTGATTCCCAGTACCTCTACCCCAAAAAATATGTGAGGGGAATTTTCTTAAATTTATATCTTATTTTCTTGAACATAAAGTGACTTCTTTTTAGAACAAAGTTTTAGTAATATGTTTACATAATGTATTATAGTATATAGTGTTATATTTTGCAGTTTTATGTATTGTGATTTCCCGTATTAAACTTTCATTAACTATTTTTTATTGAATATTAATTGTATATCATATTATAGAAAAGAAATATTTTTGTTTCTGTCCTGGAGGAGTTTACAATCTACTAAGCTGAGAGGTGGCGCAAAGTACATTAAAAATTTTTACAAGGTCTGGGAACTTAGTTCAGTGTAAAGGCCCAAAGTTCAATCTCCAGTAACACACACACACACACACACACACACACACACACACACAGAGCACCCTGAAACTGGACCTCATGAAAAAGATAAGCGTAAACATGTATCTGCAGGCAATGATGGCATCGGCCTAGCAGACATCGCACAAGCCACACGTTCCAGGGCAGGTTTTCTGTTTTTCTGTGGCAGCTCTGAAGGGGAAGATGAAAGACACTCTCTGTCCTCATCTCCAAAGCACAGTTGTTGTTGCAAAGGTTCCTAAATTCCATCCAATAACTTCATTCTTTAGTCCTACATCATAGAACTTCAGCGGGTCTGTCAGGGCTTGGAGAGTGTGAGGAGGGAAGAAGGGCCAAGCTCTTCTCACTGCAGGGCCACTCAGAGCTACCGCTTGGGCATCGACCCCAACCCTCCCTCTGGGAAAACTGTTTAGGCTCTAAAACTTCAAATAAAGGGTGATAGATAAAGTTCTTATCTATCCAAAGGGTTTTTAAAATCATATTTCAAGATGGAAGATCCAGTGCCCAGTTGCCCCGGGAAGCCTGGACACCATGCCAGTTAGCAGAAGCTTTAGGGCATCAAACTACTGTTACTTTTTCTCTGTAAAAAGTTAATCATAAAATTAAATTTCTGGCCCTTCATGTAACTGTTTTTTTTTTTTTTTTGGTTTTGGTTTCTTCATTGTAAATTGATTTATCTCAGGTGTTTTGTCACAGGGATCAAAAGTTGACTAATACAGTAATTAAACTAAATAAAAAGATTATAATACTATGTGGTATCATATAACTTAGTGCTTTAATATATTGCAAAAAGCTTGAAGCAAAATTTGAAAGCCAGGGAAGATAAATTAATATTGTTGTTGCTATTATAAAAGTAAATATATTATTACAGGCAGATTCTTGTATTTTAATTGTCTTAGTCCCATATTTTATTTTATTTTATTTGTTTATTTATTTGGTACTGGGAATCGAACTTAGGACTTTGCACTTGCCAGTCAGGAACTTGTGCCACTGAACTATATCCTTGGCCCATTCCCATATTTTAGAGACAGCTTAATCTATAATTATTTAAAAAGACACTTAGAATATCTTTGTACTTAAAACATTAAAGTAGAAATACGTATACTCTCTGTTTGCTAGAAGATTCTGTGACAGAAAATTTAAATCCATGGATATTATTGCCATTGAGAAATTGATATTCCTGACTTCAAAAATGAAAGGTTAAGAATCTCTTGGGTACCATTTCAACATATGAGGATGATTATAATTTTATTTCTTTATTAGTACATATTTGCCATTTATAATGATCACATTGTCCATGCACATAGTATGTCTCAATTCTTCTCTTTTTCCCCATTCCTGCCCCTGCATTTCAACCCTTATGACAATAATTTTAAAAAGGAAAATAACAAGAGTTGTTAAAGATATGGAGAAAGGAAAACCTTTGTATATTGTTAGTGGGAAAGCAACATGTTTCCTCATAAATTTAAGAATTACCATTTGACCCAGTAATTCCACTCTTAGGTATAACATAATTGAAAAGAGCACTCAAGCAGATATTTGCACACAAATATTCACGGTAACATTATTCACAATAGTAAGAAGTTGGAAATGACAAAAAAAAGAAGGTGGAAATGACCTGTGTCTCCATCAACAGGTAAATGGATTTAAAAGGTGCTGTATATACATCATGAAATACAATTTAGACATAAAAAGAAATGCAGTTCTGATACATGTTATAACATAGATGAACCTTAAAAACATTGTGCTAGAAGAAAAAAACCAGGCCCCAAAAGACAAATATTGTATGATCTCTCTTATATAGAGTACCTCAAATAGGCAAATGATAGAGATAGAAAGCAGATGAGAGGTTGTTGGGGAATGGGGATGGAGGGGTGGAGAGTTATTACTTGCTGGATACAGAATTTCCCTTTGATTGATGAAAAATTTTAGCACTAGGTAATGGTGATGGTTGTACAGTATAAAAATATAATTAATACCAATGAAGTATACCCTAAAATGGTGAAAATGGCAAATTTTATATTACTTATATTGTACCACATTTTAAAATGTTTTAAAAAAATCACATTATGTTGCTTGTTTCCTTAGAATCTTTTTAATATTTGTTATGGCTTGTGTTTAAATGTCCTCCCAAAGCCTCATGCAGTCAGAGATGGGGCTTTTTCAGAGGGGGCTGGTTCTAGAGTGTGTGATTGATTGATGACACAATGCCAGGACTATGGGTGTGTGATTACTAAATTAGTCTACTAGTTGGCTTGGCACCCGTAGAATATAAAAAGGAAAGAAGCTGCTATTATCATTTGTCTTTGCTGTTTTCTACCTGCCATGAACTGTTTCTTCTCTCTGATGCTCCTCTGCCATGCCACCTTGCCTTGGAGCCAGATGACTATGAACTCAAACCTCTACCCAGCGTGAGCCAAATAACTTTGTTTTTCTTTGCTAAGTTTGGGTATTGGGTATTTTGTCTCAGCAATGAGAAAAGTAACCAAGATAACATTTATAGATCTAACTATAGTACAATTTATGTGTGTCTTTAATATAGGGAATATAGTACACAAAAGCAGGGGTTATACCTCTAGTGATATAATTAATAGGGTCCATGTTTATCTAAGGGTCCAGAACTTAAATTTAATCTTCTGAATTTAGGTTTTATGCTCTTTCTGCAGAAAATTCATCACTGAATGCTGACCTAAACAAAGTGAGAATGGATTTCTTGAAAACCTTTTTGAAATTCTCCCCAACAAATAGATAGAGCATGGGAGAAAAAATATTATTGAAAGATGTTGTCACCACCGTAATTATCAGACTCAACTCTAAAAGTAATGACTGGTTCTTAGTGAGAATTAAGCCCTGGTATACATGGTAGGGCATCCAACACACAAAGAAAGAGACAATGGCAGTCAGCATAACTCTGAAGGGCTTCCTGGATTTAAACAGACCCCTCTCTTTCATCTTGCTGGCTACTCTCCTGTAACAAAAGGTGATGATGAAGAAAGGCAGAAAGAAACCCAGCAAGAAACGGCTGATGAAACAGGCCACATGAATCTGTTGCCTTAATGCTTGCATCTCTTTGCTTTCCCAATTACTAGACACAGCATAGTTATTTCGGCAGGTCACCATTCCTTTCTGGTCATGATGTGTCTCCCTGAAAACCAAATAGGGTATACTGAGGGCTGTGGCAGAGATCCAGACTCCCAGGACAATGCTGGAAGCCCAGCGTGGGGTCCGGTGCTGTTGGGACCATGCCGGGTGAAGAGTGAGAAGGTAACGGTCCAGACTGATGGCGGAGAGGAAGAAAACGGAGGCGAACATGGCCGCAGACAAAGTGCTGTTGAAGACCTTGCACAAGGCAGTTCCAAAGTTCCAGCGATTGTCCTGAAGATGGGAGGTGGCTAGAAATGGCAGGATCAATGTTGAAATAAGATAGGAGAGAATGAGATGGAAGAATAAGAGGGTATTAACAGTCTTCTTCATCTTGAACTTTAGCACCCATAGGTAGAGCCCATTGGTGATGTTACCAATTATAGATGATATGAACAAAGGAAGGACAATGATGAGTTTTAAGGCAGGAGATGGAAAGTGAGTGCTATTTCTTACTAAAGTAGAGGCATTGATTGGATAATTGGTAGAGTTCATCACATCCATAATTACCTAAGGAGAGAAAAACAGGGAAAATTACAAGCACAAACAAAAGTTTAAATGTAGATATTGAAATTATTTTTTATATAGCAGTGGTCCAAATGACAATGCCTTTTTTTTTTTTTTGGTTTTTCTTCGGTACCGGGAATCGAACTCACGACCTTGCACTTGCCAGGCAGGCGCTTTTGCCCCTGAGCTAAATCCCCAGCCCTCAAATGATGATGTTTTTAAGAGTGATGAACACAATAGTTCTACATCAATTCAAATACTTGTCTAAGTCCTATACTTTTATGCTCTATGAGGCATTAAGATCAGATTAATCTAAACATGAAACATAGAATTATTATAGGTAAAATAAATGTGAAAGACAAATAGAGGTTGGGACATTTTGACAATTGTTAAGTACTTTATGTGGTTAAAAGTATATTGGGCATTAAGCAGAAATCTGGCTTTTTTAAATGGGCACAAACTACTTGAATAAGGCAATTTAGAATGAGTTTTACTTGACTAAGACTTGATGAGGACAAATGTTGTTAATGAAATAAACTTATGCAACAAAAATAACAGCAATGGTTGTAGATTAGTAATCAAGGGATGCCATAATTAGATTTCCCTCATAAGCCATCTATACATATTACATACTGTTATTTAGAATTCTAATACTTAGCACATAACAGTAAGACTTGATCTTCATATGGGAGCCCTAGGTCACTAAAGACCTAAAGTGCCTTCAGAATCATCAACAGAAGAGGAAGGTATGCTATAGAATATGGTTCTTTATTTGGGGAGGGGAAGACAGGGAGAGAAGTCAAGGAATTCACATTTGTCTGATACTTGTTATATGCCAGGAATTTTCTATAAAAGTCATTTCTTCTTTCCCCGCAAGGTCCAGGAGGCAAATCTTTAAACAGGGGAAAAAGTGAGACTTGAGAGGGTTAACTTTCTTGGTGCTGGGAAAACTGGCTATCAATATACAGAAGATTGAAGATGGATCAATTATCTCTCACCATGTACTAAATTAAAATAAAAATCAATCAAAGATCTAAACATTAAAATAGAAACAATTAGCCTACTGGAAGATAAAATAGGTAAAATGCTTGAAAGTGTAGTTGTAGGCAAGGACTTTATGAACAGAACTCCAGTTATACAAGAAATAACAACAAGAATCAACAAATGGAATTATATCAAATTAAAATCTTCTGTACAAGAAGAGACAACCTATAGAAAAGGAAAAAAAAATTGCCAGCTATTCCTCAGACAGATGACTAATATCTAGATTATACAGAGAACTTAAAAAGTCAAGCCACTCAAAATGAAAGATCCAATGAAAAAATGGGCAGGTAAAATGAACAGACACTTCTCAGAAGAAGTACAAGTGGCTCATGAGAATATAAAAAAGAATGTTCAACAACTCTGGCCATTAGAGAAATGCAAAACAAAACCACACTGATATTTTATCTCACAACAGAAAGAGCGGCTGTCCTCAAGAAACCAAATAGTAACAAATGTTGATATGGCTGTGGTGAAAGGAGGAGCCCTTCTACACTGTTGGTGGAACATAAATTATTACAGTGGTGCCTTGGTTCACACATGCTTTTGCTTGCAAACAATTAGGTTTGCAAACACAACTGTTTGGCCAAATTTTGTTTTTGTTCGCAAACTCTGGATCGGGTGGCAAACATGACCATGGCCATCTCTCCCACACAAACACAAACATGACCATGGCCATCTCTCCCACACAAACACAAATGTCATCTTTTCCAAAATTGCAGAACAAATTAAGTTCATGAACAAAGGTACCACTGTACAACCATTATGAAAATCAGTCTGGAGAGATTTCTCAAAGAACTAACAATAGAAATTCCATTTCTGTTTTCCTTCTTGGTATCTTCCCAAAAGAGCTAAAGACATCATATTATAGTGATACATACATACCAATGTTTATAGTAGCACAATTCACACTAGCTGAATCCTGGAAACAGTCTGTGTTCATCAACAGACAAATGGATGAAGAAAATGTGATATCTATACACAATGGAATGCTACCTGTCTAAAAAGGAGCATAAATGTGAGGCATTTGTAGGACAGTGGATACCCCTGGGAAACACAACGTTAAGTGAAAAATCAGATATACAAACTTAAATGCCATGTAATTCCTCTCATTTGAGTAATGCAAAGTATAAATAAAGAGCAAAATAAAAGATTGATGAAAGGAAGCAGGAAGATAGATCTTTTGCAAATGGAAATGGTCTTGAGAGACCAAGGGTGAAGAGGGGAGGTGGAGAAAGGGACACAAAATTTAAGATATGGCATTATATGTGCCAAATATCACAGTGAATGTAAATATTTTATGCCACAAACATGAACTAAAACCTAATAACAGTAATGGTGCAAGTGGGGGATGGGATCTGGAGGCAAAGGGAAGTGGGGGGGGAAGGGAAGGAGAATAAAATGTAAAATACTTTCAAGTATGTGTACCTACTCTTTAAGAAGAATGTAAACTTCATGTCTTGCAAACATATACTAATAAAATAAAAATTTTTAAAAAGGGTGAAATTTCTTATATCCATCAGCATCTCTACTATGCATCTTCTATTATGGTAGTTGAAGAACCCTACCACTGCTTTAGATAGCTTCTTTGAAAACTGGTAATTCATATGGAGTGGTTTTGATAATGGTCCGTGAATCAGAGTCTGTAAATATCAAAGTATCTAAAATATCCAATTTCTTGGATAATGGTTTTGATAGTATTGGAAATATAAACCTGAGAACAGTTTCTGGAAAATAGCTATTACAACAGAATCATATCAACAAATTGGTTTTTGATAAATTGAGTAAAGCAATAGAAATTACTAATGATGCAGTTTTCTCACTATGCAAAATCATTCTAAAAATATAAAAAGAAAAGAAAATAATTGCTATTAAAAAACCCCAACTGGGGCTGGGGATTTAGCTCAGTGGCACAGCGCCTGCCTGGCAAGCGCAAGGTCATGAGTTTGATTCCCGGTACCGGAGAAAAACCAAAAAAAAAAAAAACCCAACTGCCTTATATTAACTCCACCTTCTAAGAGAGTTGCAAAGTTTTTCTTTAAAGTAGAAAAGTGGTTCCCTCATTAGAAAATACCTTAGTAGTTTGCCTCGGGGATAAAAAGGGAAGTCTGTATGGTTTGGAATGAGCAGGCAATGCCAAGTGAAAGAATGTAAAATCTTTTTTTTTTTTTTTTTTTTAAACAGAATTGCTTGACGTAGTGCATACTGGCCTTGAACTTGTTGTGTAGCCCAGGCTGGCCTCAAACTCACTGCGATCCTCCTGCCTCAGCCTCCCAAGTGCTGGGATTACAGGTATGCACCACCATAGCTGGCAAGAGTGTAAATTCTTGAAAGAGGCAGTGTGGACGTCCTGGGACCTTAAGAAGGGAGTTGAGGTTGGTCTCAAGTGAGGAATTTCAGAAAAACTCAGCAGAAGGTCAGAAGGCCTTAACAGGAGAAAGGGTCAGTGGGATATTTTGAGAAGCAGAAATGACACAGGAGTGTAAAACTTGGTGTCTAACACTCCATTTTAATCCATTTGCTGTGCTTTGATATGATGGGATGTCCTTTCTTCCTGTTAACCTACAACTCTTATGTTGGTGGTTATTCTGGAGAATCAAAGAAAAGAGCTTGTGCTAGCTAACTGGAATGGGGTGAATAGAGAGAAAAGAGAGACAGGAGGTGAGATGTGAATGAGGTGATGTATATGGTAGGAACTGGGGCCTGAGTAAACAAGAAGGAATACAATCCCCGGAGGATTTTCCCGTACTGTGTGTGTGTGTGTGTGTGTGTGTGTGCGCGCGCGTGCGCGCACATGCACACACGTATGTGGGCTATGTCTGGTCTCTCTGTGTATCTGTGGTGCATTTGTGTGTATGCAGTCAAGAATATGGTTGCTATGTCTCTGTGGTTTGTGTTTTTATCCACAGTGTATACATTTGAAGCTTTATGCGTGTGTGTGTATGTTTGTGTGTGTGTATATGTAGTCTATGTGTATCTATAATGTATTTGTGCAATCATGCGTGTGGTGTGTGCTGTCTGTGTATGTGTGTATGTGCCTGCCATCAGTATTTATCTATGGAATGGTGTGTATGGTGCTTGTGTACCTGTGCATGGTGTATATATGGGGGTCTCTTTGTGTATGTGCATATGAGAAACTGAATTTTAGGGGATTTAAAAAAACTGCATGGCCAGGTTTCTGAAAGGCATCCAAAAATAATGTAGAGTGCAAGCAGAATCAAAGCGCAGCTTTGCTGATCTGTGTTGGTAATGGTTCTGAGTATCATATCACATTTTCTGGAAACTTTGATTTATTTGATGTAACAAGAAGTCTCCATTCTTAAACATCTCTTCAGAAGCTTTTAATGTATGTGAGTATAAATTAATGGAGCAGAGCTCAGGCTCAAATCCCACAGTCCTCAGTTTGGACCCGACCTTATTAGCTCTGTGAGTTTAAACACTTAACTAAGTCTTTTAGTCTTTTCCTCCTCAGCCTGTATGAGTTTTTCAAGAAGACTGAGAGAATACATTTAAATTATGTAGCTCCCTTTGTGGCATATGGTAAGTGCTCGGTAATGTTTTTAACCTGTTATTTTGTTCATTTTGTTAAATTAAGGATGGTAAGAGCCTCATCTTGCCCTTTTTAAATTTATTTATTTTTCTAATCAGATTTTATCTTGTCCTTTTAATCCTATAGGCCACACTACTTTGTTCCCCAAGGTGCTGGAACTAAATTCTAAAGTACTCCAGGGATTTCTGAAAAATCTACATGTCCATCTCTTCTGGTAGAGCTCTCAGATTAGAATTATTTTGAGGCTTTGATGTAATGATCCTGCTGACACAATGGGCTTTCAGGAAGACGGTACCTCCGCAAAGTACTCTGAGCTACTCTGTGGGGAAGGGACCCAGAAAGCTAATCAGGAGCAAGCCTAGAGGGCTACTCAGGAAATAGCACTGGAGAACTCTTCTGGCCCAGGGAATCTTACCTCCAAGTGATGTCTTCAAGCCTGATGGTCTTGAGCATGCCAGAGGGACTTCAATCAGCAATCTTCCTTCTAGAGACAGAAGCAAAAATCAGTGACATTTTGTCTTCATTTCATCTGCCTTCTTGCTGATGCAATGTCTCAACCTTAAATTTACATACTCTGTGAGTCTTCTTGTTCTTCCTTATTTTGGGGAATGTAGTTTTGGGAGGTGAAAGCAAAGAGAGTATTACTTCTTCAAATAATTTCTTCATTTTAAAGGGGGAATATAAAGATTCCATAAGCAAAATAATTTCTATTTAAAGTCAATAAGGTAATTTCAAGTATTAAAATGCTGATGAACAATTACTTTCTAATCGTCAGTCATCCCAACAGGCAACCAGTTTGCCTCAGTTCAAGGCTTTTTATTAGCATATGGATGGATGATGCTGGGGACATAGGAAGATGGTAAATATCAGGCAGAGACAAAAATAGAAACTGGAAATGAGCTACCTAATCTTCTGGGAAGAAAATGGTTACAGAGAAAAATATAAACACTGAGTTTCACATTAAAAAGAAATTTTTGAACCAAGCATGGAGGCGCACGTCTGTATCCCCAAGACTCAGGAGGCTGAGGCAGGAGGATCGCCATTACAACCCTGGGATATGTAGTGAGGTCAAGGCCAGACTCTGTCTCAAAAAACGAGAGAGAGAGAGAGAGAGGTACTGAGAAGAGTTTGAAAACAGGCCAAAGATTTGTATTATTCAGTTTGGGAAGATGAAGGCTGGCAGGCAGAATCATCTACATTTGCACAATTGTTGAGAAGAGTGGAAAAGATAGAGTTGCTTACCACCTCTTAGAAGATGATCTTGTAAGAAACACTAAAATACAGATCATCCATTTATGAACCATTACTGACTCAGTGCTGTATTCCCTATTTCCCCCTCGCTAATCTATCTCTGAAATTTTTTTGGATTCATCTCCGGGCTGACCTCAGTGTCCTTATTTCTTTGCTGCTTTTTTCCTCTTCATGTCTGCGCCGCCAGTGGAGAAAATACATCAAAGGCACTGTGTAGCTCTAGTGGTAAAGACCTGGGGACCAAAACCATTACCTAGTCTGTGTTACACTCACATTTTTAAAACTTTCACTTCTAGACTGTAGTTTTGTTAGAAACAAGCTTACCTTTTCGTTCTTAATTCATTTGTGGCTGTGACCTTCAACCTAAGAACTGATTTTTCCAGGTCGAGTCTGAGTTTTCAATTATGCTGCTGCATTTTAAAAGGGGTTTCTTACCAGGTTTTCAGACCCTTTGGGTTACTACAGAGATCCAGAAGCCACTAGAGGTATTATGAGGGCCAAACTTACTAATTTTGCAGATTAGCAAAAAGAGACACAGAAAGGTAAAATGAATCACAATAGGTTTTCATCAAACTTCCATTCTATAGGTGAAGAGACTAAATCCTTAGAGGTATTTAAGAACTTGTCCTAGATCTCATTATCAGCTAATGGAGGAGTCAAAGCAGAAATAACATACACTAAAAGTACTTGTTACATTGATTGCAAGGCAATACAGGATAGAAAGCAAAACCCTGGATAAAATTCAAACTCGGCCACTTTTGTTTGTGTCCTCGTTTGTTAGTGTGGAACAATGACAACAAAAGTAACATATCTTTAAAGTATGCTTTGGTGGATTGAATGAGATACCACAGGTAAGGTATGAGCACAGTACCTAGTACAAAGTATTAAATAAGTGGTAGTGAATATTAATATCGTGAAGGTTGTAGCAGAACATTAGCAAGCCCAGTAGGCTGGAGCAAATAGGTGAGTAGTGCAATTTAGGGAACATTTATTGAGTATCTATTGCATGCCAAATAGTGTTTGAGATTAGGAAAAGCAAAATAAATAATTTAAAGTTTTTTAATGTTTACAGTTATTAAAGAACACAATATCTGTACCAAAGAGCCTAAGAATGTTGAAGTGATTAAGTTCTGGGCTCTGGAAATTGTATGCTTAAAGATTCCTCAGCTGCCTGGTAAGTGCAAGGTCATGAGTTCAGTTCCCGGTACCGGAGAAAAACCAAAAAAAAAAAAAAAAAAAAAAAAAAAAAAAAAAAAAAGATTCCTCAGCAAGGACCATCTGCTTCTGCATTTCTAATATATTTCACACTGTAGTTGTATCAGAAGAACATAAAACAGTTTCCATTTCTATGAGTGCTTTTCTTGAAACCACCTGATTTAATTTGAAATATGAAAACTGAACTGAATGAAACCACATCCCTAAAGCCGCAGAAGAGAAGTTAATTCCTCTAATTCAGCCTGCATATTTCCTGACAACTAACATCATTGGCTTAATTACTTATTGGAGGAAAGTACTACTGAGGTTATGTCTGAGGGGTGATAGAAGAATTCAATTTTGGGCTGCCTAATGGTGGCATTAGCCCCAGCACCTGTTTTTCTTTGGGGAAAATTAAGTATAATCCCTAATATATTTGTTATTTATATATTTTATACATTATAGAATTAGGAAGTCTAGAGTGCGAGAGAGGAAGAGGAACCTGGCTCAGATTCCTTTTTTATAAAAAATGATTGAGAAGCATAGAAAGGAGCACTTGGTATGAGGCCGGGTTTCCAGCCTTGTGAAAGCCAGAATTACCTAAAGATCTTTAAACAACGATGGAGTGTTCATGAGCTTTAACTTATTCATCCACTATTTAGTGAGTATGTTGTATTTGAAGCATCATTCTTGCTACTGAGGATACAGAGTAAATGAGAAGAACTGTATTTTCATGGAGCTTATATTCTAAAGGGAAGAGACAGATAATAAACTAGAGTATAAATATATACAGAAAAGAAACATAAGCTGGCACTCCAGTGCTGTGCAGAACATTAGTACATGAAAAGGTGTCAATGAAGGGGCTACTTTAGATGAGGGAGTTCACAGGCTTTTCCATAGGTGACATTTGTGGGATTAGAATGACACGATGGAGCCAGTGAGGTATTGATCAAGAGGATGAGCATTACCCTGAACCTGCATCTTGTTCCAGGTCTTTTTACCCCATGTTGGCCCCTTGTACCTCTGTTTGCTTTTCCTCTTTTAACTGAGCCTTTCCGTTTAGGAATTCTTGCATCATGACTTCTGAATTTCACCCATGGTTTATGGCTTTGAATTTTCTTCCTTTGCAAGATGCTATGGTTTAAATATGGCTTGACTGTGTCCCACAAGGGTTCATGTGGTAGAAGTTTGGTTGCCAGGGTGAGAAAATGAGAGATGGTAGAGCCTTCAAGAAATAGAGCTTAGTGCGAGGTCGTTAGAGTGCTTAGATAGAGTGCTGGTGGGGCCCTGATTAGTTCTCAGGAGAGGGTCGTTAGGGCTGTTCTACAAGAGCAAGGCTGGGTCCTCTCCATGCTGTACTTTGCTGCCTCTTCATGTGATCACTCCTTCTCCCCTCTGCTTCCACCGAGGTGACAGCTGCCCTGAGGTAATGCAGCCAGGGAGTTCCTCACCATGGCTGGAACCCAGATGTTTGCATTTTCAGCCTCCAAAACTATCAGCTAAATAAATTCTTTATCTAGGTTTCTTGGGTCTTTTGGTATAGTAATGGAAAATGGAACAATACATAGTCCTTGTATGACAGAATTCTTGCAAACATAAATTCAGCTTTCTTCAGGAGACTGCACTGACAATCTGCTTCCAGCCTTACTGGATATGATCTGCCACACTGAACCTCAGATCCTATTGATGTCTGAATAGCGTTCCCAGCACTGCAGGCAGGATGTACCTAAAGCAGAGACAGGTTGGGGGAGGAAGTTGGCCTAGATCTTGATTATGAAAGGATTCAGACTCTAGTCAGTCTCAGGGGAGAAAAGGTTGGGCTTTGGAGTACAGAGGTAAAAGGCAGACCTTGTACAGTGTCCAAATGTTAAGGTTTTGGATAGGGTTGTTTCTCTGCAATGTTAGACCCAAGTTAATCTGCTTTGAGTGAACAAACACAGGATGTTGGAGAATGATGAAGTTCAGATTTCCTATGAAAGTAATGAATCATATAAAAATTACAGGATGTGTTAAGGATTGGACATTAGAGACCACTTACTGATGGGTCTACTTTCCAGGGAAGGGGGAATATACCCCATCATGCAAATTTTAAATTTTGAGCAGTTCAATATATTATAGCTGCTTCCAGCTTGAGTGTAGGAGAAGAAGCAGATTGGCAAAATATTCTGGGCTGATGGTTTCCAATATTAAAGGATGGCTTCCAATATTAAATGGTTTCTAATATTAAAGGAGAGGAGGCCAGCTGAGTTGACAGTGCTGATAAGAGAATAGTAGAAGTGATAATGCTGGCGGGTAGGTGGAATAGGGAATGTATAAAGCCAGAATGAGTTTGCCAGGTGGGAGAAAGGGAGAGAATGAGGAACTGGCAGCAGAGTAGTAGCATTTGTATAAGCATATAGAAGTGTGGGATATTGGAACTGATCATTGTTGAGGTGCAGAAGTTCTGAGTGGTGACAGGTTCTCTACAATATTGCAACAGAAATAAAGTAACAAAGCAGTCATTGGAACTGACTTCAAGAAATTTGAGTGCTAGGGACAGGCATGGTGGTACATATTGGTTCCAGCTACTTGGAAGGCTGAGGTAGGAGGATCGCAAGTTCAAGGCCAGCTTGGAAACTTTTTTCTTTCTTTCTCACTACATAGTTCAGGCTGGTCTTGAACTTACTATGAGACCCAGGCTGACCTTGAATGCACAGGAATCCTTCTGCCTCAGCCTCCTGAGTGCTATGATTACAATCATGTGCTACCATTTCTGGCGTCCGGTCTGGACAATTTAACAAGATCTTCTCTCAAAACAGAAATGTTAAAATGGGCTGGGCATGTAGTTTAGTGATATAGTGCTTGCTGGCATCTTCAAGGTTTTGGGTTTGATCAATACTGAAACAAAACAAAACAAAACAAAACAAAACAAAACAAAACAAAACCTAAGACTAAAATTTTGGATGGTTTTTATCTTAAGAGCAGTTGTAATCACTGAAAGGTTTTAAGCAAGAAATGTGTAGTCATAGTGATAGTTTATAAAAACAGCCTGCCCTTTGGGGTAGAGAATGGCTGGGCTTGTGAGGGGTGAGAGT